GTTCGGCAGTAATAGTATTTCCATTCTTCCTGTTATTGTCCGCAAAGGGGGTTGGAGTGGTGAGGAAGAGGGAGACGACGAATGCGAGCCCGAAGCTTTGCCGAGTTTTGCCGAAGCGCACGCTGCATTGGCGAAAGTGAAGTTGTTCTTTTATGCGCTTAATATTAGTGAACGTGACGAGGAAAACATTTTGAACGTGGAAAGTGCTCTGTTTGGTCTAAAACGTAAAGTTTCGACAAACCAGTTGTCCATTAAAGACTTTTTTGGTAAAAAGAAGTAACTTTGAAAGAGAAACATTGTTTTTTTTTTAAATTTTTAATGCTTTCCCGCATCTATCGTTTTCCCGCATTCATCGTTTTTATTTCCCACCCCCGCCGAAAACGATGCATTGAGGTTTCACTGTAGATGGCAGTTCATCTGTAGGATTGATCTTTTTTGGTAAAATAGATCTGTGTCTGAAATGATCTTATTGGCATGACTTCCTAATTACTTCTGGTCATATTAATAGTAAATATACTGGTACACTAAGATAAAATGTTCTCAAATTTGGCAGAGAAATATGAATATCACTGCTACATTTAGGGCAAAGTTATAGTTAAAGAAACTTAGATATTAATTCATTACTAGAGAAAATGTTGGCTACCCATAAAAATACTGTTTTATTTTTCTAATTTTCTGCTTACTGACTTGATGAGACCAAAATTCCTGTACATGGGAACAGGGCAGTGAGAGATAAGGACAGGAGAATATTTTTTAGTCAACACTGAAATTATCATATTTGTTATTATTCTTGTAGGTGTCTAGAAGATTCGAACTGGAATTTTCAGCAAGCTGTATCTGTTTTCACTGAACTAAATAAGAAAGGGACAATTCCACCAGAAGCATTTATGAAGTGAATATAGACACGTTTTATCAGAAAATTTATTTTTGAAAGGTTACATCTCAGTGTCCAGTGTTGTCTCAGTGTATAAGTGGAAAATTTTGGAAAGACATATTAGATCTTGATGGTGTGCCAGTGAGGTTACAGTCGTTCATCTGTGAGTGAAAAGCTGATCTAAATGTGCAAAATTAAAATGTAGTGAAGTAAGATGTGTGTGAGTACCATCGAAATTCTGTTGGCACAGTTTGAACCAGAACTACTTATTTAATGAGTTGTGTTGTATTGTTGCAAAGCCCAGATAATACGTTATTCCTTATTCTTACCTGTGTTACTGGCCTAAAGTTCACTGCGGGATCTGTGAAAGGGTTGGCGATAAATAAAGCCTCATGCTGCAATAACACCACTCAAAGACCATGATTCGTTATTGTTGTAGCAAAAGAAATGTCTTTTGTTGCTGATATGATAACTTCACCCCCCAAATATAAAATGTCTTGAATTTTATTTCAGTAGCTTATATTGTAAAAGTAATACTTTCTAACGTCTTTTATGTATGTATATATGTTATGAGAATAATAATAATTTGTAAAAATTTTAGTTTTGGTAATTTGAAAACCTACATAGAACAGAGAGGAAACTGTTCTCTTTGGTATAGATTTTGAATAACAGACGCATTGGTGGTTTTTTCATATTTTGCTGATGGTTCAGATTTTTAACTGACATATATTTCTGAATGCATACAAATTCTGTGTGCGATAATAGGATTAACTTAGTTCAGGTACTTATGTTAAGTACTGGCTGTGATTGTTTAGAATGTTGGTATACTATTGATGTCTTTGGGAAATTCCAGTACAGGCATACCTCGTTTTATTGCGCTTCACTTTATTCTACTTTGCAGATATTGCATTTTTTACAAATTGAAGGTTTGTGGCAACCCTGCATCGAGCAATTCTATCGGCACCATTTTTCCAACATCATGTGCTCACTTCGTGTCCCTTTGTCATATTTTGGTAATTCTCGCAATGTTCTCGCATTGATTTTTTGGACATAATGCTGTTGCACACTTAATAGACTACAGTATAGTATAAACATAATTTTTATATGCACCGGGAAACCAAAACATTTGTGTGATTCACTTTATTGCGGTGGTCTGGAACCGAACCCACGATATCTCCGAGGTATGCCTGTATTTAATCATAAAATAAGTTTACATATAATATTACTTTCTATAAAAATATAAAATAATGGCAAAGTTTAGATGTTTAAAATAGTAAGGACAAACTTCTTTTTTCTCCCTTGGTGCTTTATTTACAGTATATAGAAACAAATGTACCATAATCCAGGTTTGTGCCTTTCTTTGCATCACTTTTTTTTCAAAAAAATGATGCAAAGGCATGTTCACAAACTGCAGTCCACTTCATAGAACTTGCTTCTTATGTTATGTTTTTTTAAGATTCTCACAGTAGTGAAGATGTTGATGGTGTTCTGGTTGTGGTATCATGTGGATTTGGAAGTAGGTACCAATTTTTGGAGAATGCCATGCCCCTGTCTTCAGCCTGGAAGGTAGCTAGTTCTGCTGTGTTGGTACCCACTTGCAGGTCCACACAGCACCTCAACTGTGAGGACCACATTTGCCATTGCTAGTTGAAATGACTTGGCTGGGGATTGAACTCTTGTTTCTTGTGTGGACTATCAAGGCACTAATGCCAGAAGAGAAAAACTCTTGCTTCAGTGAGTTGAGCAGAGGACAGTGGAACATTAATGGATGTAAGTCTGCAGTGTCATTAAATTCCCATGACACACTTCTGCTAACGTTAAATGTTGCATATAGCCATCCTGCAAAATTACTTGATGTCTCGGTAAGGTACTCACATGAAGTTGAGATCTGTGTTCAGTCTTCGGCTGTTTTAGCATTATTTTTCATTATTTGGGGTGGGGGATGTAAAGTGTCAAGAATTGTCACTTAAACACAAAACAAAGTGTCTTGTGTTTTGCCACTTGTTTTATTCCTGTTAAATAATTTTTGTTTTCATTCATGGGAGAAAAGCAGAAAGGGATTTCCATTAACAGACAACCTGTTTCAAAATTAAACTTTTTTGAGTATCTACTACTGGGGTTTAAATCATAGCAGTGTTGTTTACACATTGAATGCTGGCAGCCTTGTGCTTTTGACTTTTCTTTTTCTTTCAGAAATACAGTCGCTCAGGAAAATATTGTTTAAAATTATTTTAGGTTATGCAGATCTCACATTTCATAATTTGTCATTAATATTGACTGTCTTCATCACTACTACTTTTTAATTGTATTTAAAAGTTTGAATCTGATTGAGCTTTCATTTGTGCATTACACATTACAGGCCGCTTTCTGATGTGTTAACAGAAGTCATCTAGCACGCAATATATGTAGACAATGTAATAATTGAATTCTGTTATCATGTCTTTTATCGGTAGGATAGTGGTACCGTGAATAGCTACAATCAATCTTTGCTGCATGCGTTGGATTAAAAGAAAGTGGAAGGTGTTGTTCAGAAATCTGATTCAGAAACAATAGTAGATTTCCAATTCCATTAACGCAGATGCACCCACATTTATTTGAACTCTCTGACCGTGGTGATATCTTTATATTTTGATGAAATGGCAAATTAATGACATAGACTATATCTTAAAACTGTAATCATGTTTTGACCCAGCATATGGATTCAGTCAAATCAAACCAAACCTCAGAATCTGTTCAAATGGATTGTAGCAACTGTAGTGTTTGTATTTAACGTGGATAAATTGTCTACACAGTGCAATTGCAGAGAGCGTGTCAGCTAACATTATAGTTTGGCACAAAAAAAGAGAGTAAGCATGTAATAAGAATAAACAGTACATACTTCTAAATAATGTAGTGATTCATGTCAGCAAGATACAGATTTATGTTTTTGAAGGTACCTAATTGTACTTTCCACTTTATTACACATTGTGTTAATAACAAAATAAAAAATGTTTGGTAATGGAATCTCCATATATTACCAGACAAAAATAAAATGCTTCACTGTAAATTGATGGGAATATTGCCATTTAGTAATATTAGAACACTCATTTTGTTGATGGCGTGACTAACATGAAGACATACTTCATTTTTGTATTTTGGTTACATTACTGAAAGTATTGTATTTCCTCGATTTTAAGACACCGTTGATTGTAAGATGCTCCCTTGATTTAGTAATAGGTTTACAGGAAAAAGACACTGTAACGATTCTTAGTTGCCGTCAAATATAAGATGAATCCTGATTGCAGAAGTTTTAAAATGCTTTAAGTGTGTGTCTTATAGTCAAGGAAATACAGTGTATAATTGTCTGATTTCAGAACTTGTTTTCATTGTGGTAAGCAAGATATAATATTGCTGAAGAAACAACTGATGTGGACAAAAATTAGAAGCACTCCTTGTGTTATAATACTACTATATGTGTAATTACAGAGTTTTCTATTTTCTCTTTTATGATGTTTTTCAGACGTGTTTATGCCAAAAATACTGCAAAATTGAGTAATAAAAGATGATATTTTGTGATTCCATCACTTTTTATAACAATTTGATTCCCTGTAATTGCACTTGAAAATAAAATCTTTGTTTCAAAGGTGCTTGCTGCTTTCCTGCCTTACCTGAGGATGGAGACAGTAAGCACCACTGAAATATTTTTAAATTCTGCTAGACTACATGGCACAACAAACCAGAAGATAGCAATGTTAATACTTGCCACCTTGAGAACCTGACATCAGATTTTATTATAAATGCAGTAATATGTCTTATAACTTAAAAAAGAAAGCTGCTATTGAGTTTAAGATATTGATCAAATTGAGTTTCCATTCATAATGTTTAATGACTGTATTGGTATGAAGGGATTCATGTGATAACACCAACCAAGTGTTTTAAATCCACAATGCCACTGATTGTGAATGTTTGATAGATCGAACTGCGTGAATTTATCTAATGAATCATTACAAAGAAAAACCTAAGGCTTAATTGAAAAATTTAAAATAAATGGACCTGTGAAGCTTGCATAGTCAGAATGGAGTTGAAACTGATATTGTTCAAACATATTTTGCCACAGACAACATGTAGGTTTGCAAATGTCTCATTTTTGCATTAACATTAAAACAGTAAAAATTATTCAAAATTTTGTGCAGAACTGTTCATTGGGTCCTATTATATATGACAAAGAGAAAAGGACTGGAAATTACTTTCACTTCATATGGTGGCACACAGATTATACACCCTTGCCATAAAAGAAAGCAGTCATTCATTTATTCACATTAGTTTCAGTAACTACACTGAAATGAAAATTGATTTTCTTGTGTGTAAATGTTTTGTTATAAGTCGAGAAAGCTCTTGAACTTCAGTCCAAGTGAGCTTATCTGTCGTCATGCAAGGTTTTTCCAGCACACTGCCATCAAAGAAATTTCCTCTTGCCATTCCACATTTCTACCAGGGACTACTGCTAGGAGAGCTGCTGTAGATATTTTCCTGACGTGAAATGCCGTTCTTATGTTGAGGGAAACTTCTTGTATTACGCTTGATATTTTGATTGTAGGTCTAGAAGTTACCTTCATAATTTGTAGCATGCTTGGGATGCCTGAATCATTGTCTGCTTCATTAATCATGTCCTGGCTAATGAAGGATTGATTGTCCTTCATGTATTTTGACAGAACATGATGCCATCACACAAAATACATGAAAAGCTATTCATGCTGAAAATCATGGCCCATGATGTACTGATGATGTTGGTGAGTGTCAGTTAATCATCTATGGTCCTCTCGTATGACTTGAGCATTGTCTATATTCTCCTCGTTACAAGATACCATTGGCATTCTCTTCTGCAGATTGTCTTTCTGTGATTGTAGCTCTGTTTGAAAACTTTTAACCATTTGTGTATTGCAGCTATACCTATGTGTGATTCTTTAGGCTCTGATCATGCTATAAGTTTGTAAGAATATCGTACCCAAAACTTGATGTTTGATGTTCCTTTGTTTTTCTATATGTTGATGTGCTGAGTTCAGAAAATAAATTTTGTCACTGAACAGACCAGAGCTTTCTTGCTGTCTGTGCACACTTGCGCCTTTCCCGCATATCTCCAAATGATTGAAATAGCTGTTGTGTCATTCAGCTCATAATGAGGAAGTTCACAAACCTCTTTGACTTTACGATGTAATATTTTGGTTTACACTCATATGCAACATTTAAAAAAGTGAACTCGGGGATCTGGATAGCAGTGTAAATGCATTTCAAGAATCACCTTTTCTATTTTGTTGATGTTTTAACAGTTTCTTGAAGTACATTTCTTTGCTCTACAGTAAGCATTGTGTTATAGTCTTCAGCCATTTTTAGACATGAGCAAAAAATGTATTTATAAAAAGACATTGCACAAATAGAATTTATAAAGGAACAAAGTAGAGACTTTTTAGAATTTTATCAATTAAGTAGTAAATTACTGAATATCTAGTACTAAGGTCAGATTTTATATAAAAGGAAAATATGCAAACTCATTTTGTCAGTGTGGAGTGAAGAACAACTTTGTGCATAAAATTGTGTTCTCTGTCCTTTCTGTTAGTGGAGTGATTCTATATGTGTAAAATTGTAAGTGCAGAAGATGTATAAATTCATAGACCCTAGCTTTATATTTATTTTCCATATACATCACATAGAGATGAGAATATGGTTGATGAACTAATTTAAAAAAAATATTGTTTATCATTTATTTGTAGCAGGAACTACAATTTTGTCATAGTATAAAGTGCCACTGGTAAATTCAGTAGTAGTGTTAACGAATGGTATTACGGAACTTTTGTTAAAGAAAGTTTGCATTCTTTAGATTAGGAAACATGTTTGGAATAATTTTTCCTGTAGGAGTGGGTATATCATTTGTAAAACACACCTTTAACAAACTACTGTTTTATTGTATGTGAATAGTTTGCACCATTCAGTGTTAACTTGTTGATTACTTTACTGTGCAAGTAAGAGCTTGATTATAAGGTCCACATTTTAAATGACTAGAATTTTTAGTACAGAGAAACATGGAACTGTTTTGTGGACCTTACATGTTTCATTGAACTAGAAGATGTTTATGATTAAATATGTTCAGTCATTACTTTCATTTGGGAACAAGAGTAAACTGATATGAATAAGACTGTTTAGATATTGCATTATTACTTTATCTTCTTAATGCATCTTTTTATTTTAATTTCTTTGATGAAATTTTATAAAATAATTGAACAGGTTTTGACTTTGTGAACCTTCTCAGCAGGAGCTAAGTGACAGGTCAATTGAAAATGTTACTTCACCAGAAAGTATTGAACTGATCATAACCTTAAACATCAGCTTAATGTGGTATGTAGCTTTCATGAGAAAGGGGAGGACCATGGAGACCGACATGTAGATGGGAGGCTAATTTTAAGAGGGATCTTTAAAACAAGTCAGGATGTGGACTGGATTTTTTTAACTGAAGATAGGTTCCAGTGGCACATTCTTGTGAATACATTAGTGAATCTTTGTGTTCCTTGTGAGGTGAGGAACTTATTCTCTAGCCGAGGCAATGTTAACTTGTCACGGACTGATCTGTGGAATTTTGGAGTTCAGTACTTGTGTACATTTTTTGTCAAGCAAATATTAGGTTGTGAAGTGTCATGTAAGTTTCTTTTAATGTTACATTTCATGTAGAGTGACAGAAACACAAAGAAATAAATAGAATTGTGCCTTTTTCATGAGAATATGGTTAATGAACTAATTTAAAAAAAATATTGTTTCATATGCTGATAGGTGTGAAAAAGGTGTAACCTAGCATTCAACAAGACTGAGTGAGTCCATCTGTGTAACTGTATTTTCATACAGAATAATTAATTGAATGTCAGAAGGCATTTTGTCAATATAAAAGAATGTAAAAATTGTTCAGATGTATCCTGTTTCTATATAGATGTTTGGTTGTGCTAAGTTAATTATGGGAGAGCTTGAAATATTTTAATGCAAGAGAAATAAACAACATGCAAAATCTATTGTGTACTATGGATTATTATTTTTCATAATGTGCATCTGCTTGAAACAAACATGTAGGAGGCCTACAATCTCTCTGATAGATTTAACTGAAACAACACAAGTTAACAGTACATGGCAGTCATTCTGATACACAATGGTAAAACATCGGTTTGGTCAATATGTCATTCTTGACCTCTTCCTATGATGAACACTGATAGCAGCAACACAGGTTGGATGTTTTCTGTAGCCTCATAGATCCCATAAGGTATTTGAATTTGTAGGTGCATGGGAGGGGGCTGCATGACCATCTGAGTTAATTGTGTTTGATATGTATATGCCCCAGAATAATCTGATTTGTCAGTCCACAAAACATGAATTATGATGTGACTTTTAAGATATTTGCTCTGGGATATAAATTGCTCTACCATTTGTTTTCTGAAATTTAAAATTTCAGGTTTGATAGAAATACAGCAGCTTTTGGTTATGTCTGACAGTTCATTTTTAGAGATTCTTAGGAAAATCCGTGGGAAAAATCTGAGGTGACTACCACTGTGATATAATTTAGGTTCCAAATGTCCCTGGATTTTTAAGTAAACCAGCAGTTAATGTGGAGTTGGTGACAATAATACGAAGTAAAATATTTAGAGTAGGTTATGAAGGGTGGGACCTGTAAAACGATCGAAAGGTTTTGCCCAAGAATTCGGCTTTGAGTTTTAAATCATACGATTTTCTCGACAGTGTGAGTCGAGATACGTACTTCAAATCGAATTTATGTAAAAGTAAGAAAAGTAGCTCATTTGCTTCAAGGGGAGAAATTTTTCTTTTCTTGCAGACTTTGGCAAAGCTGATGGTAAGATGGCTGAAGTAGCGGTGCTTGTGTAAAGGACGTTTAAGTGTGTGTTGTATAACTTAGATGATGTTTCGTGTTTTTGAAGATTTTGGAAAATGCAGTGTAGTATAGCATTTAATTAATAATAAAAAGCAGTACTTTATTTGGAACTCATAAAACGCTACATGACAGAAGTTTCATCGGGCAAAATGAAGGCAGCTTTGATTTTAACTTTTGTGGCAGGATTTGTGTTAGGTTATAAAGCCAAAGAATGGAGAATTAAGTGGGTGAAATGGAGACGAGACAGACTTGCAGCTAAACTTGTGGAAACCCAAAGAAGATTGGAAGTGCTGGTCATATCATCATGATTTACACTAGTTTTTATGAAGGTAAGTCAGTCTCTGAATATCCCTGTCTTGTGATTTTAATAAGTTAGGTGGGCTGGAACGGAAGGAGGAAGCCGTGATATAAAAGAGGACGAAAATAATAACCCGTTGCCTTGTTTATTTATATTCAAGTATTCCTATGAGCTGATACGTCATTTAATATCTGCCAGACTCCAAGTCCATTCAGTTAAAATAATACGTCTTTCAGTGCATCAGCCTCACAATGTAAGTGGAGAAAGTAAAATACAATGAAATCATAAGATTATATATTGCAGATATCCCACCGAGTGAACATGACTAGTTTTAATGGAAAGTAGTGGAGGGCAATGTTTGTGTATTTTATCCCAATGCTTTAACTTGCATGATGGTGACTGATAGTTCATTATCAATACGTACATGTAAGGTTTTATACACTGCGGGGGTTATAAATGTGTACAAAGTCAGCAGGTTTTCTTTTTTTACTTGCTGAGAAACTCAAATATTATGCAAGTCAAATATTTGTGGTTATGTTTACGAAAGAAACAAAGTAGACTTCACAAAATCAATTCTCTGCCACTGTCCTTGGCCAATAATCTAATAGAAATAATTATTTCAGGTGACAGCAGTAACTGTTGGGCCCACGCTTCTTGATGCAGATTGGCAAACAAGAAATTATAATCAGCATTGCCTGTAAATGATACCGTCTCAAAATAATGGAAAACGTTGAAATGTTGTAGAATTTTTAATAGTTCAATATTAAAGTAAATGTTATCTGTTAATTTGTGAATATTACAGGGATGAACAAACTACTGAAATCCCATTTTTGCGGCCTGAAGTATGCAAGATGTTTTGTTTGCAATATTCATGATGTTTAAGGGGTCTGTGAAGTCTCTTTCCAGGGTTCAGAAATACTGCATACAATCAACTAGCTACTTAACAAAATCTACTTGCCTGTTTTTTTTTTTATAGTGTTCTGTCTGATGACAGGTCCTTATATTATGAACAGGATCCTTCCATCCTCCTCAGGTTGTCAGGGCCCTGCTCATACAGATGATCAGAAGTGGTTTACCATTGCCTTCTTCTGTGTGTGTGAGTGGAGTAATTGTTGGGATGCCATGGAGAAACCAGAGAAGTCCCCGGAGGAAAACTCCATGATGCCTAGACACGGCCTTGCCCAACACAAGTTATAAATCTGAGCACCACCGGGAATTGAACCTGGGACCCCAGGATTACAAGGCTAGTGTTCTGACCGCTAGATCACCGTGGCCTGTACAGACAAAAAATTTAACATCTAAGTTAACTTACTTGAGGAAAGTGGGTGAGAGTATTTCTCGAGCCTTGTCTTTTCTTATACAGTTTTCATTTTACATGCCTTTGCAAACTGATCAGTGTTATATAGATGCCATATCTACACTCTGAGATGTAATTTGGTACCACTGACAAGAAGTACAAGGCAGTGTTCATGCATTAGACATTCCTTAATATTGTTTATTACAACATGATAAGAATAAAAAAGTAGTGTCAGTTGGTTAACCTGGGCTCTTTATTACTAAAGATTGCTGCCCTTTTTGTCTTTATGTTCCTAGTTTACCAGTCTTTAGGGGGTAAATTCCAAGTAACACCTAGTGAGAAGTTGTTTGGAGTTGAAGAGAGTGGGATAGTAGGCAGTGATGCTTAATTGTCTGTGTCAATTTATTTAATGTCTGCTCTCCACAGTAGTTATTTTGACTTGGCCCATTATGGTTTAGTTTATGCAATGGGATGGCATTGTAGGTACTTACTGGTTAAAATGTTCTGCACAGTGATGTTTGCTCCACTGTTAACACATGGTGTGGGCTCCCCATACTGTGTGTATAGCAGAGAAATACACAGAGCATCATAATAATCTTGCCACCTCCGGGCTTCCTTCTGTTAAATTGCCAAGTTCAGTAATATAATGAGTACCAGGCACAAATGTAAATGCAAGTGGTCATTTAAAATTAATAGGGAAGATGCACTCAGAAGATCTGAACAGGTTAGGAATGTACTCATAGTGTAATTAAGTTTGGTATTTTTGTTTACTTTGTTCTTGACTTTTGATTTTCAATTTGTGAATGATAAATGTTTACGCTGTGTTATAAATGGTGCAAAACGGGTGCAATAAACAAGTGAAGAACAGTAGTATGAAATTTTATTAAAATCAAAGCAACATTTCTCAAGTTAAGAGGTGGCACAGCTTAAAAATCCCCTTTAATTGTTTTGAAAATTCAAGTGTGAAGTAACCTTTCAGAAGAACAGGAAGAAAATGGTTTGTTGATTTGTCAGTCATTCAACACAGATGTGGGCATACGTCCGGTACTTTGCGACTATCATCAGCAAAGTGAATAATTCTTAAAACATTCAAGATTTGTTATTTGACTTATGATAGTCATGATCACATTTTAAATTAGTAGCTATAAGAATTATGGTTAGGTGAAACAGTGCCAGATTTTGACATCCTTGGGCCTAAGTTTTGTCGAGTTTGAAAGGCTTGGTAAAATATATACACAAGTAGCTGGAAGGGCAATGTAAATTATAATTGTTATTTTTGATAATAATTCGAGGCAATGTCATAAGTTAAAAGAAATTGCTCAGCGCAATGAAATAATTGGTCTTGAGCTACAACTCATTGAATTTGGAACATTAACATGAAGTGCAATTAAGACATCGAATGGCGAATGGTATGACGGAATGAGGCGTGGGGTGGGGGAAACAGCACGTCGTGGAATAACCAGTTGTCAGTTCGAACGGCCTCGTTGTGGTCGATGTCTCGTCAGTTCTTTCATCTGTTCCAGATTCCGCGATGCTCACTTGTTTGCATGGTGGGCTGAAACGCGGTTTCTTTTTGCACGCAAAAAAAACAGTGAAGTATGCGAAATTTGTTTCTTTTCTTAAATTTTGAACAAAACTGTAATACTACTTTAGTGACATGTTTAATGTTGCAGTGCTTGATGCGGTTAAATGTTAATAATTTAAGCTTTGAATTGATTAAAGATAGTAAATGTGCGCGAGTTCTTGATTCAAGTGGTACAATTTGTTTGTGATACGGTGTACTGGAAGTTACACTAGGGAGAAGATAATTAAAGTATGTTTCCTGAAACTAGACCTTAATAATACGTAAATGTATTACACGTAATAGTTGTGTGCCGGTTTTGCTTCTAACCACGTATAGTTGTCACCGTAAACAGTGAAGGAAGTTTTTGTTATGCTGTGCGGTACACATATCAGAGTTAAACTCAAGACTCCAGTAATTACGACACATATTTTTAAGGTGTGTGGTTGTAGTGTTATACTTTAAAAAATAAGTATCCTTCGGATAAACCATTTACGTTTGTAGTTAACGGTGATATATTCCGCTGTCTTACAATTTATATCCGTTAAGGCCAAACTTTTATATCGTTCCATGATTTTGTCATCTGTTTCGAACATTGGAATTTGCGTCCCCTTCAACCGTGGGTTTCTAACATTGGTTCTTCTTACTTCAAAAATTTCAACACAGTGCCCCATTCTACCGCAGTTTAAAGTTTTCGCCTTCTGCTGTGGTCAGTGTTGCGTTGCTACCCCATACGATGATGATGTGAATGAAGTGACAAGGATGCCCAAAGTGAAGCGAATTTCATCACGTGAATGTTTGTCCAGCGTCGGTTAGCTCGTGGATTATGCCACGAGAATTATACTTGCACAGAACAGCTGCTAGACCGATAATCAGCTCAGGATGGAGTGGTGAGTACAGATTAATAACGTAGCATGCAGTGGGTACGTAGTACCACCCTTATCCAGCTAAAATGTGTAAAAGGATGAGCAGATTTGAAACATCCACTCAGCCGAGGTTAGTAGAAGTTGGCGGAAATTATTTTCATTCATCAAAGTTCACTTTCAAACACCTTAAATTTCAAACCCGTAGTAAATAACTTAAGATTTAGCTATTCGCTTCATGTTTCTCTCTCTCTCTCTCTCCACAGCTTTCGAACTAACGAACATGTTTGTGGTAAATTGTAGTGCAGTAGACCGGCCCTAAATTTCCTCGAGACCCTTTTCCAGGGTAATTTTATTTATTTTAATGACTAATTTACGTCAGGTCACAACATATAGTACGTGTATCCCAGTTTGGAAATGATTCGAAATATTTTAAATTGTTGCCTTGTTAGCGTGCTAATTAACCGTTTGATCTCACGTGTCCATAACATAATTTATATTGAAGATGGAGGAATATTTATGTATAACTGTTGATAGACAGAGGGGTACATTCTCCTGCTGGCCTTTGGAACACCAAATAAATCCAAATGGAGAACGTAATATCTCGTGTACAGCATGCAGGTAATGGACCGTACTCAGTATATGCAAATGTCAATTATGGCATCTGCTTGTTGGCCTTCGTGACGACACAACAGGAGACATGGAGGACTTCGTTTGATTCACTGCGGAATTGACTATTAGTGATGCTGCTGTTGTCAACGGATCTAGCGCATAGCAAGTTATCAAGATCCGTGACCTTAAGAAGTCGGAAGATATGACTGTTGGATGAGATTATTCTTGGCTCGTCTCGCATTTGTAGATAAACAGATTTAACAGTCCATTCCAGATCAAGAGATTCGAAAAGTGGGGTTAATATATCTCAACCGGTGGTGAAGGAACAGCTAACCGGTCTTAAGCTAATTCAGGACTTCAGTGCAAAAAGCGGATAACTAAAAATGACTAAATAATGCTGTTAGATATTAAAATTATTAAAACATCAGAACAAGTAGCTTGATCTTGTGGTGTAAGAGACGTATCAATTTCTACTGTTGTCAAAGCAATGTAAATAGTATGATTACATACGGTACTGAATATTTAAAAAAAATTAGTCCCTCCTGGAAAAATATAGAATGTCACTTGTTTCCGTTTTATACCAACCCGAAAATTCTATTAGTGACCGCCAGAACTATGGCAGGACCGAACGTCAAATTTGGTGGATTTCTGGCTAATTGTTACACCAATTTGCTCAAATTTAATTGCAGTCGTCCGTTGTGGCTCTGTAAATGGAAGGATTTAAAGAATAATCCGGTTTTTGTGTCTTATATTGCATTATCATCAGTCTTGTGTCACGGGGTTAAAGTGCACTGTTATTGTTTACGTTACTTATGAAGCGTATTAAAGATGTATGTAGGAGATTAGTCTAATATATACGTAGTTATGAGCATTAAATGAACGTGTGACATAAGAAGTAAACAATTTATTTATTTCAGAACTGTGTATCTTAAGAAAACTCAGGACGAGGAGCGAGTAGTCTGGTTAATCAAATATCAAAATGTTTCAGGTTTCAGGAAGTAACTGCAGATTACATTAATGGAAAAATCTCATTAACTTTGGTAGAAAAACACGAAGATTAAGCCTTACACTTTGCAAGTCTTCTCACTAGACATTAATTTAAAACAATGATACTCTTTCGCAATGATTATTCTTTTCGTGCTGCCAAGCATGGCTAGAATATGCGTAATATATAATTATGCGTCTTAATTATTCCTAATTTGAAGGACGTAATAGTATTGAACAGCTAAACACACTGTCGTGCAGAGGATTCACCTTGGTAGTTTTGAACACTGACCTAGATCCCTCAGAAAGAGACCACCACCACCGTTCATGAATGGATTTCTTATGCTGTTTCGTGTCCTCTTATCACCGAGTTGTACTTCAACTTAATTTACAGCTCTGCTTGTTGTCCATGTGCGTTAAATACAATCAGTCCCCGCTTTATGACGATTTTCAGTATAAAATTCGACTCATACTAACAGCAGTATCGAAGCGAATACCTTCATCTTCGCTCGTCATCCGAACGTGCTGTCACTCATCCGAGTTCTTCCGGACAAAGCCGAACACGTATTAAAAAAACGCACGTAATTATATTTTCTTAAAAAATATTTTTGTAGTACATGTTTTTATCTGACATGTTTCCGTTACCTGTGTGTTTCATTTCAGGGAACACAAATTTTGATTTATAATTATTTTGGTCATTTTCTGTAGTTCGGGAACGTAACTCCAATTTTAACACTGCGCTTATGGGATATAGCGACTCGCTTTGCGAACTGTGTCTATTATCTACACGTAATTGCGGGGACTGCCTGAGAGGAACAAGGGCGCATTCTTGCACGCTTGAAGCATCAAATGACCTGCTAACATATCTCATCGTGTGTCCACGTCGATCTGATGACGGAGTTTGCTGTTAAAGCCACGTGTTCAGAAATGTGAAGGGAAGGTCCCACTTTGAAGACTTACGCGTAGTTATATTGGATGTTATTAAAATGGATCGTACAAAAATAGGGTTGGTGATGTGGAATTGATTCATCTGGCCAAGGATATGGTACAGTGTGAGGTTGCTTTGAAGCCAAAACGAACCTTGGGTTTGCATGGGAGGAAGGGGTTTTCATGAATAATTGAACGATTAGGTGTGTTGCATTTTCAAGGACACTGCTTCATGGAGTTAGTTATGGATCGGTAGTATTCATTATCCTCTGTATTAATGTATTATCAGTTAATATTTAAGAGGATTATAGTAGGAAAAACTGAAAGAAATATAAACTTCTGAGATTTAGGCACAGATAGGTAAAAAACTGAAATTGATCTTTAAAGAAACTGGGTGTAAGAATGGGGACTGGATTTAAGTGGCCATGGATATACTCAATTGATGGTCTCATGTAAACACATTAATATACTTCACATAAAAGGCGGGACATTTATTGACCAGTTGAGCGACTATCAGCTTCCCAGGAGGTACTGGTCCACGGCGACGTCTATATAAGTGCTGCACGATTTCTGCCATTCAAGATTAGTCATGTATTTAAAGTTTTTGTGAGTCAGTGTGTCGACTTTGATCGAGAAAAGTGAAGCAAGGCCAACTACTGAGGGATGCGTTTATTGGTGCAAGTCAGTTCAGGCAGTGCGTGGTCGTCGTAGCTGATCGTGATGACTTCACGTACAGAAAGAGAGAGCCATATTTTGGAACGGAAGCCCTGTTTCAAATTCAGGAGGTGTCGGGTTCAAATCTCGGCCCGGAGACCGGATATCCCGACTGAGGGTTTTACTAGTTATTGCCAGTTCCTTCGGTAAATTACGGAATTTTTTTAATAATGCTGTGGAATATAGGTAATATATTCGAATGTGATTAATTCACCTTCTGTTCTGAAGAATGCGCTCGTAATGATGACGCGACAGTGGTGTTGGATGACGGATGACGAGTGATTAAGGATGTATTGAATTATGGGTGGTACATGAAGAGTGGTGGTGGTCTGAGAATGACTGATTTGACGAATACAAACGATTGACGCCTGGAAAAGTTATATGATCGGTTAATGAATTATGCATGGCGGATTGACAGTATGGCTATGCATAAATAATTTGATAAACTTTATGGCTTTCCTCGTGATATAGGGTAGATTGAAGCATTTAGGAAATGTAGGCAACTTCAGTTACACTCACTGCGTTATCTTGCCTCGTAATTTAACGCTAACCAGAAAATAATTATGTTTACACTCGTGAAGTGGTAGGAGGAGAAACTGTTAACTTACATAGGAGTATTAATTGGTGCGTATTATACCGTAGTCAAACAGGGGCATCGACGTGAATCTGTCTATTGTCGGTCTGTGCCGTAAAGACTCACGAAGAAATCTCAAGATGGCGGAGTTGCACTCTTAAGTGTACAGTTTATAAAAATGTTCAGAAAGTCAAATCGTTTGTGGAGGCAGGCCTAGAACGCTGGTCTTGTAATCCTGGGGTCTCGGGTTCGATTCCCGGCGGTCCCCGAATTTATAACTTGTGTTGGGCAAGGCCGTGGTCTAGGCAACACGGAGGTTTCCTCCGTGGCATCCCAACAATTACTCCATTCACACACAGAAGAAGGCAATGGCAAACCACTTCTGTATCATCTGCCAAGAACGTATATGAACAGGTCACAGTCCGAGAAAAGGATGGAAGGATCCTGTCCATATGGACCTGTCGGCAGACAGAACACTACAAATAAAACAAAAAAAATTAATCAACTTAAATATCTGCAGGCTTATCTTGATAGTTTCAAGTTGCAAAAATATTTATAAATGCGATTACCGAAGTCCGTGTTACAAATTCCTATGTTGACCAGAGCAAATTAAAGCGTCAAGTTATTTATTTAGAAATTAAAAATTAATTCGAGTACGTCATGGGGTTTTCTTCGTCTCCTTTCCTTACTGAACAAAGAAACTCGGGCTATGTTATGTCCACGGGTTTGTTTTCCGCTAATAACTTTTGTAGTAACTGACGGATTTTTATGGCATTTGGTACAAACATTATACGATATGCCAGTGAGATGCATTGCTGCAACTCCGACCGACTCTTCTGTGGTTTTCAGAAGACTTCGAGGGGAATAATTAGCCTTCTTGAGAAGCTGAGAGTTGATCACGTGCTCAAGGTATTACCGGAATTGTATGGAACTCGAAAGTTGACACTGTGTTCGTAACAGCCGGTCACTCGACCATATTCTGAGGTAGCTGATTCCGGTCCACACACACTCACATCCTATTTCTTTGTTAACTTTAAATTAAGAAGCCTATTATTCTTCCATCAGTGATAAAGGTTGTATATGTTGTCTGCGTAGCTCAATTGTCCCAAGCGTGTTACATTCACAATCCTGAGAAAATCTTTAAATCAGGCCACGATCGCTGCTTCCATCATCAGGGCGATGAGTAGGCTTCTACCAGATTACAATGCGCTACAAA